TTGACTTGACATGAACAGACTTGACTTGACATGAACAGACTTGACTTGACATGAACAGACTTGACTAGAACAGACTTGACGAGGCATGAACAGACTTGACGAGGCATAAACAGACTAGACTCACAAACAGCGGTTTACAACATCAATTACACGACCCGGTACAATGGGAACATGAAGGCTACTTATAGCAGACAAGAGGGTCACATGACAAGAACAAACCAATGGGAAACAAGACACATGACTAGGACAACCAATCAGAACATGACACAAAGAACAGAGGAACCAATGGCATGAAGACAAGAGGGCAAGGGAAGCATGACACTAACAGCATGAAATAATTACAAAATAAAAGACATGAAAACATGAACATGAAACAAAACCCAAACCCCACATTACACAGCCATTCAAACCGAAAGTGTTTTTGTGTCTGCCCGCATTGTTTTTCACTTGTTGTTATCGTATGTGAACCATAGACTGTAAAAAAAGATGGATGACGCGTCTCCGCTTCCTTCCACTATAGAAAAGTGAAGCCAAAATGTTCCAGGTATAGGGGCTGTCATCTTGCGCCGATGACGTAATTTGGAGTCCAAGTCTGCATCAAATAACTAACAAAAAACAAACTAATTAGAAAAACAAACTCTACAGCATACCTCTGCATGATAAGAACTTTGGGAAAAACATTACTTTAAGTGCAATTTGATTTTTAGTTTGGCTTATGTGTTTAATTGGTCTAATTTGTTTAGATTGAGAGCGCAGGGTTTATTAACTATACTGCAGCCAGCCACCAGGGGTGAATGCTTTGGTGTCACTTTTCAGGACATATCAGACACACTTGATGTGAACATGAACTGAATGGCTGTCTCTGGACGAAGGTCAGGAGCAGAGACTGGTGGCAGCGAGTTGTGAAAAAAAGAGTACAGGAAAAACTTTTGAATGTCATTGAGTTCATTCATGCATTTGTGTACACCGGGCACATGCACATTTTGGTCAGAGTGGAACCAGTTTGGTTTGATTTCATGAAAGGTGGTCACTGATCCACAGCCTATTGGTAGTGAGGGAAAGTCTCAGCTTAGAAGGAATGGCCCTGTAAGCTAATACATTTTCATGAGGACTTACCAATTTATATAGAGTGTTGTGATGGTCTGTGCTCCATATGAGTCCAGCGGTTGCATCTGCTGCAACAAGACGTTCTTTACCAGTCTTGTGACATCAATGTTGATGTAGCAGCTGAGGCTGTGCAGACTTGTAACATATGCCTGAATCCCAGCCAGCAGGTCAGAGGGTTGGGCGATTTCGTGAGTTCTCTGGTTATAATTGGCCATCTGCACAATAACCCTGTAAACCTCTATTCGTTAGGTCACTGTAATGCTGAATGAACAAAGCAGTGCATGATAAATGATTTATCAGACTCGTGTGTTTTTAGCGAATGCTTTTTCATTTACATTTTACAGTTGTGAAGGCTGACTCTCTCTCAAACAACCTTTAAAGGAATATTCTGGGTTCAAAAACCTAGAATAAAGTCTAGATTAGAGTGAGGCACGCACAATGGAAGGGAATGGGGCCAATCTGTAAGAGTTAAAATACACAGCTTCATAAGAATAACCACAAGGCGTGAACAATATCCGTGTTAACATGATTTTAGTGTGAAAACCTTTTCTGTGTAAAGTTATGTCCAATTTTATAACGTTGCATGATAATATAACACCTAAAAAGATACACTTCTTCATTCTGCTTTTACTTCCATTGTAAGTGCGTCATTGCAATCTCAAAAAAAAGGGGGGACTTGGGTATTCCTTTAAGACACAGTGTGTACCTGAGAGGATTTTCAACAAACTCATCTTGTCAACAGTGCAGTTTCATAGTAAATACTTAAAAATGAGCAATACTTGTTGAGTCTGATCTCCAGCTGTGCGAGCAGGAATTCAGCAGGTACAATGATGTGTTTGAACACGGTGAAATCAGCACAGATACTGTAGGAAGCGCACAGTTCTGTCAGTGCCTGGTGCATCTTATCCAGACTACAAGAGAAGAGAGCCAGTGAGTGTACATATCTACAGCTAACTGTTATTATAATGATACTGCAAGATTATACATACTTTGTGACGATGACTCTGTCCTTCCTGAGGCTTTCCGTCCCTGGTTTCTCTTTAGGCACGTCTCCTTTCTTTGGTAACGACTTCTTCAGTTTTTTATTGCGTGCTGTACTGATGGTCTCAGCACTGTGTTTGGGCAATAACTAAAACACAGCACAACACAGCTGAAAAACACTGCATGCTTATGACTGTGAGTGTAGATGATATAGTATCCTACAATGGTTTTACTTTCTTGTCTGTTTTATTTTCCCTTTTAAAAACCATTTGCTCTTCATAAAGCTTTTTTTTCTTCTGCAGAATGCCTGTCCACTCTATAATATTCATACAGAGATATCAATATCTGATATTATATCTTAAGCCTAAATCCAGACCGCTTTAGTTATTAATTTTAATTAGGTTTTATGTTGGTTGATCCCCATGACTTTAAGTCACACTGAATCATGACTATGTTTTAAGCAACCTTGCAATGTACCTTCTCATGTAGGTTACACTGTTCAGCACATATCTCCAGCACAACCGTACACGTCTGACGGGAAATCTCAGGGTTTTTTTTTTTCCTTTTAAAAACCATTTGCTCTTCATAAAGTTTTTTTTTATTCTGCAGAATGCTTGTCCACTCTATAATATTCATACAGAGATATCGATGTCTGATATTATATCTTAAGCCTAAATCCAGACCCCTTTAATTATTAATTTTAATTAGATTTTATGTTGGTTGATCCCCATGACTTTAAGTCACACTGAATCATGACTATGTTTTAAGCAACCTTGCAATGTACCTTCTCATGTAGGTTACACTGTTCAGCACATATCTCCAGCACAGCCGTACACGTCTGATGGGAAATCTCCTCCAGAAAGGTCACACACAGCTTCAAGCTTTGATTCTCTATATCTTCAGTCTAGTCCATGCACACGCATGCATTTAACAAGAAACATATGACAGAACATCATTTAGTAGTAGTGCAAATAGTGTTCCAGATTTTCCTTTGAAAATGATCTGTGGTAAACTTTCATTAAAATCCCACACTTTTGGCCATTAGTACTAAATGTGGCATATATTATCTAGATCAGGGTTCCTCAAATCTTGCCCTGGAGGGCCAATGTGCTGCAGAGTTTAGCTCCAACCCTGATCAAACTCACCTACCTGTGATTTTCTAATGATCCTGAAGACACTGATTAGCTTGCTCAGGTGTGTTTGATTAGGGTTAGAGCTAAACTCTGCAGGAAAGTGGATCTCGTGGACCAGATTTGAGGATCCCTAATCTAGATGATACTGGAACAAAAATCATTTTGATTCCACAAATGGGCTGTGAGATACAAGATAGCAAATTTTAATGTTTTTATCACAAAGTTCATAATAAAAGATGCTTGATGGATACCTGGACAGTCTGAGGGCAATAATAGATTCCATAAATAGTGGTCACAATAACAAGGAAATCGACCCAGTAATGGCATTACGAATGATATGCTGTCAAAGTATGTGTGGTTCAGTACTGAAATATTATATGTATTTCAGTTATCTTTAGTCAGGTGCATTTACATTGTCACAGTCCCTCAGATGCAATTAACTTTGTCTGTAAAGGTGTGAATCAGTTGGCCCATATGGCCCACAGAATAAGAATATCTAAAAAGTGTCTTGCACGATCAAGCTGGTCAAGCTTACTTATATGCGTATTAGAGAAGTCTAATAGATTGGCAAGCCAGGCTAACAGTACTGACCTCTTCTGGACAGAGAGGATGGAGACACTGACTGAAGTGTGAACAGATGACCGGGAAAGCCGTAAGGTTGCGCTGCATGGACACATCCTCACTGCTCTGAGAGAACGGCTTCTCAAACACACGTGCGTGGAAACTGAAACATTACAGGCATGTCAACTCAAAATCATTTTCTGTATCTCTGCATTTTTTTTAAGACTTACAGATGATGCAAACTTCAACAGTTGGGAATGATAATAAAAATATCACTTGCTTGATTTGGTCATGGTAACTTTAACCATATGAATTGAGAATGGTGTACTGTGTACTGTGTAACAGTGTACTGTATGTATTTGTGGTTAAATGAGTCCCTAAAGAAAAGTATTCTTCTGTGGAGCACACTCCGTATTCATGGTCTCAATATGATTTTCTGTGTGGCAAATCATTAGACAAAATCTTCTCCTCTGATTGGCATTTGAAACCTATTTTAACGAATCCGGCCTCTCTGGTTCCCCCTGATCGTCACCAGAGGTCGCCTATTGACTCTTCCCCTCAAACTCCATTTCCCATCACCCCGTACCTGACTTTGATTACGAGCTCACCTGATGCTTGTTTATGGGACTACTTAAGCCTCTGTCTCACATTCACTCTTCGTGAAGTCTTGTTTTTGCTCCGGCTGATATTGCTGAGTGTTATCATATTCTCTATTGGATTACTGTGTTTGACCCTGGACTGTTTCTCTCGTTTTTGGATTCTCCGCTGCTTGCCTTTTGACTCTCTTGCCCTGTTTTTTGGACTGTTGTTTACTCTGCTTGCTGCCAGCCCCGATCACTTGCCTGTCTTGTTACTTTACCTTTGTCTCATCTCTGATAACCCTGTTACTGTTTATCGACCATTACCTGTACGACTGTGTCTACATTTATTAAAAGCTGCAAATGGATCCTCACGCCATTGACTCATCATGACACCTATAGCTCTGAAATGTCATTAACATCAATGGAAACATGCAAGAACCAACACAGTTTGGGGTCAAATGGTGTCAATGTAGCATTTGTGTGGTTAATAAAATTTTGGACTCTATTTCAAAGCATCTGCAGAGGGGAAAATTATCTGTGAATAACAAAACAGATGTCACACAAGCCTATCACATGATTTTAGAAGATTAGGGGCCAGATTTACTAACAGCTTGTGCCAGCGCAAAACATCTTTTGGCATTAAAATAGTATTGTCAGTATTTACTAAAGATGCGCAATGAAGAATTATCGCTGAAAAGGCGTGGACACAGTTGTTTTTGCGACTGAACTCATTGAATTTGCATTTGTAGGAGTTTCTTTTCCAGACACAAAATTTATGGGAGGGGAATACAGGAACGTGCACATATAGACATCAAAGGGGGCTTGAGCACCTGCCCTTTTTCTTCCTCCAGAGCAAGTGCCCTTTTTTTCAGAGGAGTTTTACATTTTTAAATGTTTAATTTATTTTTTTAAATAAATTAATATATGTACAGTATATATGTGTGCATGAGCGTGTTTCTGTTTTGCGCACAGCTTTCCCTGTCAAACAAATAAAAAATCGAGATATCAGGTCAGGTCAGGAAATGTTGAAAGACTGTTGAGTTCCGATGCCTTTCTCCCCTCCGCATCTTTGCGCGCAGCACAGCAGTGTAGCACGATCGGAACATGTACATCACAAACAGGCAGAGAGCCTCCTTCCCTTTCCAGTTGTATTTGTCTTGCTGTGGAGGTGAGTGGTGATGAACAAAAGACTAAGCTACCTGTGCGTCGAATTTACAGCTAATTATCCAAAAGACAAAAGGCAAAAATAGTTAATTTGTCTTGCTAAATCCTTGACTCATGAGAGCTACCATGTAAGTTAGCTAAAGTTTAGCTAAGGCAATAGGAAGTCTAGTAGGTTAGACCAGTGTGCGTTCTTTCACTGCATGATTCAGTTTATCAAAATGCATTTAGAATGATCACAAAATTCAAGATATGGGGGCTGAAATGTATATATTTATATCATTTCTTATAGTTAATCAGTATCACGTGAAGACTGACGTTTTTTCCACCAAAAAGCAGCATGATTACAAATGTGATTTTGATTTTATACATCAGTTCAATAAACAAGAATTTAATATTAAGACACTTACGTTTTAGACACAATATTGCCTGTTTTTACTCTATTTGCCAACAAATATAATTCCAATTTGCGTCTCTGAGCAACATGATGCTGTTTGTTGCAAATGCAACAATGAATCAAGCGTTTAAATGATTCGGTTCAATCGCAATGACTCACTAATTAACAGTGACTTGCTGCCACCTACTGGCAGTTTTAATTTCACATTTAAAGTATCTTTTTTTTTTTAATATAATTTCAAATATCAGTATTCGATGTTTTATGTTTAAAATATTAAAACAGTTTTAATGCATTTGTAACTGCAGGTTAAATGCATTCATGTCCTGCATTAAACAGTGCGTAAATGCATCTAAATGTCACTTCAGATGCAGCTTCTGTGTTTCCTCTGCATTGCAAAGATTAATTTTGTCAATACTGATTTCATTTGCAACAGCCCAAATGACTTATTATTCTAATTGACTGATTCAATTTAAGAATTTGACTGAAAAGATGATGCACACTTTTAGCAAAATGGCTTTATGAAGGTAAAAATGCCCATAAAAGGTAAAAATCAACTTAAACTTATTGGAAAAGATTAATTTCTATCACTGCTGTAAACTGATCACCACACAGAATATGCAGAATATCAAAAACTTTAGGAGTCAGCTGTCCATGGTAG